TGAACTCGTGCCTCGCCGGTCAGAGGTAAACGTCCTAACCATTGAGCCACGAGTCCGCTGTCTTGCCGGTTGTTGATCGGGCGTATCTATTAGTTGATTGTACACCGTCAACCAGGATGGGTACATCCTGAAAAACGGATCGGTGTGCAGTTAACTACCATATACTCCCGATCAACAACCGGCAAGGCAGCGGACTCGTGGCTCAGTGGTTAGGACGTTTGCCTCTGACCGGCGAGGTGCGAGTTCGAAACTCGGGTGTGGCAGAAATTTCAGCAGTTACAGTAGACTTGGCTACCTTTAGCTGACGATGGCCAACACAGCCAGAAATAGCTATTCTAGGGTTGCCTGCCTTTGCCGGAATACTACTACTATAGCCTTAAGATATGTTACTAAAACTCAATTAGTAATATTACAATTAGTAACCTAGCAGAAACACACTCGGTTGGTCCGAAATCGAAACGCTTCAACCAGGATGGGTACATCCTGAAAAACGGATCGGTGTACAATCAACTAATTTCTGTACAATTCTGTCACTAAAGACTTCCGTGGGGATGTAGTGTAGTATGTGGATGGATTATGTTGAACTTTTTATGGTGAGTAACACAGCTGACGCCGAATCAGTAAAATAAAAACAGGCTTACTCCTACGAAATAAGTAGGCGCTTATGTAAAGTGAGCAGGGGTGGGGTGGTCCTATAATAGATTGATACACTTTTTTACTGTTCCTCATCTTCAAATAAACCATGCTTTTTATCCTCTACGTTTGTAGCTCTGGGAGCTGTACAATGACCGACGCCTCATCCGCACGTATATGGGTCATCGACAGGCTGTGCGGGACATAACCTTCAACACGGCTGGCACCCAGTTCCTCAGCGCCTCTTACGATCGCTTTATCAAGCTGTGGGACACGGAGACGGGCAAGTGTGCCGGTCAGTTCAACCTCAAGAAGGTGGCCTACTGTGTGAAGTTCAACCCGGACGAGGACAAACAGCATCTCTTCCTGTGCGGTTGTGCCGACAAGAAGATCCTCTGTGTAAGTTAGACACCTTTGCCTCCTCCGCCGGGCAG